TGTGGACATTTTGAACACCTTCTTTAAATCCAAAAAAGTGCAGTGTGGGTTTACAGAAAAACATTGTATGTATCAAAATTGTGTTCCCTATTTATAAGTGGATTTTCTTTATACCTTCGATAAACTTTCACACACCAGATGAAGCGCTAAGACAGTTTGTGTAAGTCCGTTTTTTTTAATTGTTTGCATTTTACGAGTACATTACCAAATAATGAAACAATACCTAAGAGCCAAAAATAACAAACCCCATCTTTATTTACACTGCGTTCCGTCGTAATTTGCGTCTGGCGTTGCGACGTTGTCAGATTTTATTTTACTTTAAAAAAAAATGCCGTTTTGACCCCCACGTTATGGGAAACTTTTTGTTTCTTCTAACCTCTCTATCACCCAATTAGTTAATGACTATCATAACGTTTACACCATGTGTTCCATTTATCTGCATGGAGCTGGTAATTACTGGTTTTGTCTTCACGCTCTCACTTTTTTTAAAATTCTATTTGCTGCAAAATGAGGCTTTAAGAAAATCAAAGATTTTTCGAAGAGAAGAAGTGATACGAATAAAGGTACTCACCCGTTTCATTCTTCCATGAAAGTGGAAAATTCACAGCCTCTGAGCTGAACAGGTACTTGAAAAATAAGCGAAAAGCCTTAGAATTAAGGCGTTTTATTCGGTATATTGTCTAACTTTGATTATTCGAATTTGCAGTAAAATTTAAGCTTTTCCGTTTAAAAATATGGTGTTTGTTTCATGTATGCTAGAGTCACCGCGTAGTTATGGATCACCGTGTAAGGATAAACATATTTTTCAAGTCATTCTGTTGGATGCATAATTTAAACATTTAATTATTCAGATCCGATGCGTAATAACGGAGTTGTCGCCGAGGTCCATACTGAAAAAATCTCCCTGCATACAGTCTGTGTACTGCTTGGTCGTCTGAATATCCTAAAGCTATAATAAATACCGTCCCACTACATCCCGCAAATCCCCTGCGTGCTAAAACACTTGTTCTGGCCGTAATTCCAGCAATTTTCATACGTCTTCCCGTTCGGGCCACCAGCTTGCGCCTTCCTGGGAAACTTTTACGCCTTGGGGGCTCCGGTAATTGCAGCTTGGTTCTGGCTTCCTTTTATGGCAAGATATCCCGGAACACTCAGTTTCTTTTTACTGCTTTATAATCGTTTCCACCAGAATTACATAGTCGTCTTGATACGACGATAAGGATGGAGGTGGATTTTCCTCCTCTGTCACATAGTGAAAACGGGTGGGAGGTCTATAACTCGCTTTATGGTCGTAGCTTTAGTGGAAAACTTTTGAGGATGAAGGTTTAAGCATAATAAGAGAGGGAAGGGTAGACTCCTGTTTGGAAATTTGTTGACAACGGTATTTCAATCTCCCCTTAAACATTCTCAAAGCGGGGCCAGTGTACTGAACCAATAAAGTGTTGGGACAAGGCTAAGGGGGCAACGGCCGAACATAATGCTGGTTAAATCGTTGTCAACATTTTCAAAACAACATTATTCTGCAGTCGCTGTTTTGCTTCTTGTGATGGTTCCTGAACATACATGACGCTATTATTATTCTTTTGGGTATCTGATTCAAAACATTGAGGTCTTTTCGACATTTAGTGAGAAAAAATTTCATAATCAAGATTGTTTTGTAGATGCTACATGACATGCAATTTAGCGTGTTGTCACGAGTTAAAATCACGTAACCCTTTTTTACTATTTTGATCAGTTATCAGTAATTTGTATTTCTCTTTATTAATAGTAGTGTTTCCGTCCGAAACCCTTTTCAATGATTTTCTTCTGGTGAATTTCACAGTTTATTGGTTGTATAATTTCACATGTATTATATCTTTCTTTCTCGGCCACTCAGTATTGCGTTGAAAACTTTCGGACACTAATGTTATAGTATTATTAACGACTACAGTGGACCCCCGATAATCCGGCCCCTGTCTAATTCGGCGCCCCCTGTTAACCGACATGTCTTTGAATATGTATTACATACATACGTATTTGACAATCTTTGCTAATGTAGATCATGCAGGTTTGAACAGGTTACAACTTTTACGCGCCACCGCTATCGTGCTTGACGCGTAAGCATTGTTTTACTTAGTTTGAATTTGACTACTGGTGATAGCGGTACGGCCTAGCGTGCGTTCATTGTTTACTATTTATTCATAGTGATTTAAGTATAGTACCTAGTAATGTCATCACAAACTCAGAAGCGAAAGCACAATACATTGACAATTAAAGAAAAATGTGATATTTAGATGGCTTAAATCGCAATGAAACTTTCAGTAGTTTAGCAAGTGAATACGGCGTAGGCCGATCTACAATTTATGACATTAAAAGAAACCACGAGAAGATCAAGAGGTTCGTGTCAACTACTGACTGCGAGCCAGGCAAGAGACAGCTGAAGAGAAAGCTGAACGTCCAGAAGCGGAAGAAGTTTTGTACATGTGGTTTCTTCAGGAAAGAAATAGGCATGCACCAATTTCAGGACCCATGTTGGCCTTGAAAGCTAAGTTTTTTTATAAGGAAATAACAAAAAAAGATGATTTTGTGGCCAGCAAAGGATGGCTAGAACGTTTTGAAAGTCGTCATGACATACGTTTAATGACTATTGCAGGAGAGAAACTTTCTAACGATGCCACCTGCATAGAGCCCTTTAAATTAAGATTTTTGCAAAAGGTGCACGATTTAAATCTTGTCCCGTCGCAGGTGTACAATGTAGACGAATGAGGGCTTTTTTGGCGTGTGATGCCTAACAAAACTTTCGTTTCTTGTAACGAAAAATCCGTACCTGGACGAAAAGTAAGTAAAGAGCGTGTAACCATACTACCATGTGCTAACACTGCGGGCACACACGTGTTTAAGATGATGGTCATTGTGAAATCTAATAAACCACGGGCATTCAAAAACATTGATTTACCTGTACAACATTACGGACAAAAAGTGCATGGATGACAAAAGACCCTTTCAAAAAGTGGTTAGATGAATGCTTCGTACCTGAAGTTAGAAAATGGTTAAAAGATGATTATTTTCCTCAAAAAGCGTTGTTGCTTCTTGATAGCGCTCGCGGTCATCCGTCTGAAGAAGAACTAACAACTGAGGATAAATGCATCACTGCGATGTTTCTTCCGCCAAATTGCACTGCACTGATTCAACCAATGGACCAGAATATCATTCAGTTTGTCAAGCAAGACTATAAGAAAACCTACTTCTGAGAGCCGTATCAAAAGACCAACCAATAGAAAAAACTTTAAAAGAATTTAATATGATGACTTGGTTTTTGCTCTTTGTCAGTCGTGGAATGCGTTACCGTCGTCAACTATTAAATCGTTTTGGATAAAGTTGTGGCCAAATATAGTCACCACTCCTAGCAACGTTCCACAAATCAGTGTTACTTCGGAAGTTATAGAACAAGTCGCTACTGAAACACAGATAAGTCCGGAAGATTTGGAAATCTGGTGCCGTGGAATGGATAAAGAGGAAATTGTTTTTCATGAAATGTCTGACGAAGAGATTATAAAAGAGGTTTCTGATTATACAACAAACAATCAGAAAAATAATGACCACGTGATTGCAACTGCTCCACAAGTCACAGCACAAGACGCAACCAACGCCTTTGAGCTAGGTTTACAATGGGCTAAAGAGTGTGGTACATCCTACAACGAACTTTTACTTTTGAGAAGACTGAGGGACAAAGCTCTGATCTCGCGTTATAATAACCTTAAACAAAAAAAAATTGATGAATATTTCCAAGCTTCATAATTTGATAAATTCATTAATGATTTTGATTAATAATTCTTGATTATTTTGGTACATATCGTCCCCTAAAACACGAAGTGTCGTAACTGATATTTCCATAATTTTACAGGAGAGAGAAAACAAGAAAAAGGGGTCTCTTTAGAAGCTGTATGTCATACAATAAAAAGTGTTTCACAAAACTTTTTGAGCCTATCATACTCAAATCCACTAGTTTTCAACTGCAGCCAGCAAAATGGTTGTATGCTGAATAAGTTTTGAGAAAAAAAATTGATAAGTCAGATACGTCATTTCGTGTTGCCAAAAATAATTCTTTAATTATGTAACTGAAGATACGACGAACAAGATGCATACATGATGGTTTATAATCAGAGGAAGGAAGAGAGAAAAGTTCTTGTTAATAATTTTTATTGACAAAGGTAAGACACTAATAAGCAAAAAATATACAAAAATTCTCAAAATCTATTTAAAAAAACTAAACCTAAGCCTTATCGTGAGGTAAGTCTTCATAAAATTTCTTTATCTCCGGTAGTCTTATCACTGGATTTTTTCCATTACATCACGCAAGGAGGTCATTATATTTCTTATTAGAAATATTTATTGATGAGGCGTATAATAGTGGTCTAACTGACATTTCAGTATTTGCTGCGCCTCTTTTTAATTGAATGAAATCATAATCTTCTGTTAAATGGCTCGTCTTGAAAATATTTTATCTTGGTGTAGCTTATCAACTTTAACTTCCATGATGTCTGTCCAGTTAATTGTTCTTCCTGAAGATGTAGTACGTAGGGATAAAATCCTCAAATTCTTGATAAAGTTTTGAAATCCATGAAGTCTCTAAATGTTAGGGGATATACTTTATACGGATGTTTCCGTCTTGCCAAATTGATAATCTATAGTAGTAGTCGGTTCAAAGATATCCCCTGCTTTTAAAATTGCATGAGAAATACTGCTATGGGCAGAATCTCCTTCATTTTGTCCATGATTTGTAACAAAGAATCTTAAAGTTATTTCCATCAACGATGGAAGGGTACTCAAGGCATACAGGAGCATAGCGACAACTATAGTGTTCTTATTTTGACTATAGCACCCATCAGAAAATAAAACAACTTTTGTCTTATCCTGCCTAGAATATTCCTCTAAAATTTTAAAAAGGCAGGTCGCTATCTCTGAGGATCCTCTCTTACCAGCTGCTTCATGCCACACAAAGCAATAACAATCTTTACTAGCTAAATCATAAAAAGTGAAGTTGAAGTTCGATAATCTACTTTTATAAAAATTGCATTTTCCTTACTGATTGGTAGGTAAATGACCTGTTGAAGATCAAACACACCACATAAAACTGTATTGTCAGCCATCGCTACTTCTTTAAACAGTCTCTTCAATTCTCTAACCTTAGTTTTCTCTTTAATATGCTTTTCAAAATCCTCTTTCAATTTTTGTTTCGCTGTTTCATCTCCCTCTCTAAACGAAAGACACAACGAACACTGGTCTTTCTTTGGATGATAGAAAGACAAATTTTTGGATTTGAAAATTTTCCTATACATCGCGATACAAGGTTTTCTTTCGATACTCTGCTGGCTCAGCTCTTCAATGAACATATCATACATCCTTTGCAATGTCAAATCTGGATGTAGATACTCACGCGAAGTCTTGCTTCTGCAATAATGCGATTCCATTTGGATATCTATCAATGTGGTCACTTATCTTGTTTCGCATTTCTTGTTCTTTTCTAAAATCTCCTGGCATCTCTGACGACCGCCTCGGTTTTCTTTCTCTAATATACCCATCTCAGATATTCTATTATGCACTGTTTGAACTAGTCTTTCAGAAATTCCCAAAGTGTTTAAAAAAAGGTTTTACAGACAGGTAGACGATCATTTCCAACTGTGAAAAAATACCTTAAAGTACAGGTTCTCCGTGATTTTGTCGTGACTGTTTTTCGATTGACTTTCTCCTTCGTTACGTGATGAAGTAAAAGTTTCGTTGCCTGTAAGATCAGCCAAATTGTAATACTCACTAAATAGTTGTTTTCTTTGCTGGTCGTCTATTTCTGGACATTTTCTTCCAACCTTTGAACATCGTTTTGACGTACATCGCTGCTTCATAGTCCTAGCAGGAACATACTTTTTTTTGAACAGACTAAAGTACGTCCTGCCCACTATCTCTCAACTTTTTTGCGTCTTTTGTTTGTTAGCTTTTTTAGCTTTCCTTTCATGATTTTCTTTTTCATTTCCTTCGACCCAAAAGTCTTCAGGACAAGCTGCTTTTATTAAACTAATATTGTCTTGATCGCGACTGCTTTCTTCAGCTGTTACATGATCAGATTTCGTGCCATGACCTAAACGTAAGCACCCGTCAGCGTCTGCCATGAAATGCTCCCAACACAAAAGAATACTGCAAACATTACATGAACTGAATACCTCTGCTTTACATCCCCTAGCTTCACAAATTCCAAATGGTGGATCCTTATCTGAGTCATAACATTCAGGCGATGATATAGGTGAATCATCAGCATATTGAGCATTATTATTGTCGTCCGGAAGATTTGTTTTCAGTGATGGAGCTAGGATGCTTGGCGGAATGTTGTCATTTTTGGATTCTTTCACTTTCCCTTTAGCGAATATAGATCATCCGATTTAAGTTTAGCAATTTCACTAAGAGGGATGTTGTCAGAGTCATCAGAACTAATATCGTCTTCTTGCACTTCCATTATAGTACCAGAATACCATTTCCCGCAGTACAACATTCTCACGAACTGCCAATAGCTATAGGCCCTTCTACTTTTAGGTCATTGGAGTAAACCACATTTAGTGATCCATCCTTCCACTTCACCAGTACATCCATTACTCTGAAACCGAAAACCTTATTTCACTTGTAGAAAAAACTAGCCAGTGGAACAAATAAATTCAGATGATTATTAAGAAATGAAAAATAAGCTTTATGAGTAGGTATATATAGCTAATTTTTTATGACGGGATGATACTATATAGTATATTTCTGTAGTGACTAACAAACTGTTAATTTTTTTAAATCCAATAATTCTCTAAATCATACTTATAAAGCTATATTAGCTATTTCACTATTTAAATATTATATTAGTGGATACTTTTTATTTCCTACCTTTATTTTCAATGGTGTCGCCAACAGAAGATTAGGTTTGATTTGATTTACTAAGTAGTTATGCTGATAAGAATCGATTGCACACAACTTTTGATTCGTTTTTGAGGTTATATTCGCGTCCGCCACGTGATTCCCCGAAGATACGACAGCATCGCTGTAGAAGGATTAGGAGACCAGAATATCACGAACTGCCGTATCTGCAAATAAACTTAGATACGACAGTTTGTGACTTTCTTTGAATGCGCTAAGGCGATACGTTGAACTAAATATTAAAATTACTCGTCGATGGTTGAGAATTCGGATACGACACTTTGTGAGTAGGAAGTGACAGCTTTATATTGCTTATACCTGGCGTAACTCAAATTTTCAAAAAATGTCAGATACGACACTTCGTGTTTTGGGGGACGATATGTATGTGCATTTATGCTTAATTTTATAATAAAACGTAAGCTCTCTATTGTTATTTAATTTACTAAATCGACATACATAAACTATGTATGATTGTACTTCAAAGGACATACATATACATAACATATATAATCTTACCATTGGATATGTAATTTGTCGGATTACAAGGCACTCTTTTGTAAAAAATTGCGGACTATAGGGGGTCTTAGGCAGTGCTGTATAATCTGACAAATTCGATAGTCCGACACTGCCCTGCATAATGTTTGTCGGATTACCGGAGGTCCACTGTATCTCATAAATTTCCTCATATAATTCTGTTGGCCCCTCGTAGAGAGAGTTGGTTCTGCCTACAGTCTGCCCATTGGCAACCAACGCGCCACCTCGTGATTTCTACACGTATTAGCCGTATATGAATATCTGATTACTATCAAGATACCTTGTTTTGAGGGGTTGCGTAAGCAGACGGTCCAGCGCCATTTTCTTTTTCTTTCTGTTGTGGTTTTGGTTGTGTGTGGGCGTTTCTTCGTAACTTCCAGGTTTTGGATATTAATGCCACAAACATCAGTTTATGGAGTAGTACCCTTTATTTTGTACCTTACGTTTAGTTGTGTGCGTTTGGGTACTACCCCGTCCATTTTCTAATGAGATTACAAGCTTCCGCGATAAGTTCTTTCTGTATACCATCGAACACGTCCATTAATGCATGCCCTGAAGAAGTTTGTTCAATATCTGCTTCCTTTTAGTGGAAATGAATTACGGAGAACCACCATACACATTCCTCCAGCTTTGTTTTGTAGCTGCCTTGTAGCTGTTCTAGAACAGAAACTTGATAGAAGACGAAATGCTTATTTTTGCTTGATGCCATCGCGTCTATGAATTGGTGTTAAAAGGGTGTTTGAGAGTTTGAATCAAAGATCGACCAAGTGACCGCAAGCCCTAATTGACTGACTGTCTATACAGATTTGTATGGAAAGTCATCATATGCACATAACGAACAACAACTCATTACAGTAGAGAATCCTTCCAATTTTCTCTAATAATTGCATCAACAGGACACATACATGGCAAGATGCCAATACGATATCGAATCTGTTGTCGCAGAATCCAATGTGACCAGTTAATTTGAATGGCTTTGGGTGATAGCAGTCTGACGATAAATGCTTACAGTTCGCATATGGAACCAATAATTGTGCTTAATCGGAGGCATGATTCCATCAGCCCCAGATCAGCGGATTTTGAATTAATTGCTACCGGAAATTGACATGCGGTGATGATGATTAAATAATTGATTAATGTGGATAATATTGACTGACCGAAATATTATGCCTGAATTTGTGGCGTTCTTCGTATTGTTTCCTTGTAATATTAGTACGAAGGCGGGCATACAAATAGTTCTGGGGATTAAACGACTCACGATTCAGTTCTACAGCGTGTCCCAATATTGCGCGGACATAGAAGTTCCACGACTCAGAATAAGTCGATTGGACATGATTTTCCTTATGCAAAAGTACTTCTTTTGTCCGCTAGAGGGCGTCAAAGTTTTCTTTTAAAACACATTTTTTCAGTCATCTTTGAAACCGATAGTCCGATTTACTCGACGTTCTAAAATTTAACTTTAATGAAAAAGTCGGAAGGCTTCGAGATGGGTAAAAAACTTCCTCCACCCCTACATAATAATTATTATTGGTATCCTTTTACCTCATGTTTTGTTTCCTCTGATTGACCAAGTAAAAAGTTATCAATAATCTCCATCCAAACGTCAATTTCAAATACCTATTGAGGATGCATTTCTGAAACTGCATCAGGATTTTCCACAGCGTAAACGTGACTCATTTCGAAGTGAAAAGAACGATTGAATTATTCATCTGAAATCGGTTTCTGTTTTTGGAACAGTAATATTCTGGCAGAGAATCAACACGGTTTCCGAAATGGAAAATCTACAGCAACAGCAATTTACAGCTTCTAATGAACTCTTGCTAAAATGACTGAGGCGGGCGAGTGGCCTGTTAGGATCTTTTGTGATCTCAGCAGGGCATTTCACCGCGTCAATCATAAGTTGCAGAAAATATGACAGTTTGTAATAATAATAATATTATTCACTCAATGTACAAAGATAACAACAATATGAGTAAATAAATATAAAATCAAAACAGGCCCAATAGAAGGCATCGCCTGTACATGGGACCAATAATTTAAGTTGAAACTGTAGAATGCAAATGACAAAAAAGGACAAAAATTAGCTACAGTAGATTATGTATTTAGTTGATGTTCGTATTTATGAGTTTATGAATTTCAGTCCTAGATATAGAATGTAGCCACTTTTTTAAATTTCTTTTGAAACAATTTCCGAAACGTAAATCTTTTAAGTCTTTAGGTATAATTTCATAAAATTTAGGCGCTAAATAGAGATATGATCGCTGCATTATAGATTTATGCGGTTGAGGAACTACTGTGCCACGAATTTTGTACCTGGTATAATGATTATGTTTAATTTTTTGGTCGGTGTTTACAAATTTATGGTAGTGAGTGATACTGTGTAAGAAATAAAGCTGTCTTATATCATACATAATTTTTCAGTGGGATAAAGTTTCGGTTTTTTAAATATCATTTTTAGAATACTTTTTTGAAAAACATCTAAATTATAGATATGTGAGGAACATGCAGCTCCCCATGCTAATATACCATATGTGAGATGAGGCTCAATCAGTGCATCGAAGATATTTTTCTGTCAATATATTCCCAAGGTATTTAATTTTGTAGGATACAAATCTAACTTTCTTTAAAATATAATTGACATGGATGTCCCATCGTAAGTGAGGATCCAAGACCACTCCAAGGTATTTTATGTTGGGCACTCTATTAATTTGCATTTTTTGATCATTAATATTGAAGGAGAAATTTGTGTAATTTGGCAGATGTCTAGCATAAGATCCAAAT